AATGAAGAGAAAGCGATGCTGGCCCAAAGACTAATTTGCCGTCTCCGCTGGTTCTGCTCAGCCCTTTTGAAGCGCTAATAAAGGGCAACGCAATAGTAGCAATGGCCTATTCGATGGATGTTTTGCTTTCGTACTTCTCAGGAAGTTCCGTCTACACAATAATTGTGGCCCCATCTTCAACGAAATGTTACCCTACCTTTTTAACATTGCTCAATCAGAGATTACCAAATGCTAATTGAGTAATCTACCCTCCTTCATAATTCAGGTTGCTGAAAAAACATAAATTCAGAATAGGATGTTTATTTGTTTATAGGGTGCTTTGTTTACCTACTTCCTAATCAGTTCGAATCTATAAAACAGCTTAAGATATAAGCCCCAAAAATAAAAAAGTCTTTGTCGCCGAATTCTGTTATCTTCCAGGTATCAAGCAGGAGCTATTAAAATATGACGAATTAATGGGAAAAGCAACAACGAAGGTGATGATTTCAAACAGATTTGATTTTTCGTGCTTGAAATTGAATTTTCAGCTCACTGATGAAGTCTATCAGATGACATCTGACTATATTATCGTCAGTGCTAACTACGAAACAACTACCGAGAAAATTGGCATCATCAAGGGCAAATTCAGTCAGATTTGGAAGAAAACTGGCAATTCATATTCAATTTACCATGATGAATTTGAAATGAATTGAAAAATCGCTCTCTATTCTGAACGAATATTTCACAGATCATTGCTTTTCATCGAAAGCTTCAACTTCTTCACACCTTGCATTGTCTCTCACGTCGAAGTTAAGTACCGAAATTGATCTCAAAGTCAACTGCTTAAAAAAAATTTACACTGGGCAGTAAGAGACAAATAGATATCGATAGTACGACCACTCGATCAAACTGCTTGCTGAACAACTCCACCACGTCCATAGCGGCTAAGTTAAAACAGTTCCCTTCCGACACATCGGAATTTCCAGAAAAAATGTTCCCTGGTCCTTTTGACTCACATATATCTAGCCCAAATCCTTCTCCGTAGTATCCCCAGTACGGCTGGTGGTGGGATTCGTGGCTCATCCTGAAAAATTTGACTGATACATTGACACTCTATCAATGCCTTTGTTACTGTAACCGAATTCGAAATATCCCAAAAATATTCAAGATTCGAGACCCAAAATAAGTAAATAAAACTTCATAGAGCTCACCCTAAGACTACCTTCCTTACAGTTGGATATGTAAAATGAGAAAAATACTCAGCATACCTTTCTCTTTGGGCAACAATAGTTCGATGACTTGTGAATAGGAACTGATGGATGGCAGGGCCTTCTAGAAGATCGGAATCACTTACTTGCGCATCGACTGGTATTAAAAAGTCATCATTTACGTCATAAGGTCATTTGAAGGCCACTTTGTATTTGAGCTCATCTCAGCACGAACTTTCGTCGTTCTGCCAACTG